TGCGGCAAGGATTCAAGTGAAAATAATTTATTTTCTAGGTGGAGCAAACACTGGAAGGGAAGTGGGTAAGTGAGACAAAGAAAGGAAGATAACAAAGATTTGTGTAATCAAGCCAATTACTACAGGGACTGGGACTTAAACCTCCTGGGGAAATTCTGAGAACCCATGTAAAATATACATTTCAGAATCATGCCACCAAAGGAGCAAAGACACTGAGGTATTCATACACAAACTCTCAACAGTCATTGATTTAGGGCTGCTCTAAGGGTATTAATTCCTAGTACTTACTGAAAGGTAGAAAAATGCAGTCTCTAATGGATGTAAATAAGACAAGTGTGAGCTGAAAGGTAAGGACAAGAGGATGTGGGGTCATTGACAACACCTGCTATGGTCTACCCCTTGCACCACAGGGTTATGCTCATTCTCCATGTTAAGTTCTCCAAGTTCTGTCATTGATTCTTCAAGATGATGGTTGATAACAATTTATTGAGGTTTTTTTTTTTTATTAAGTTTAATTATAGTAGAGTTAGTGGGACAAGGTAGAATATCCCCTGCTGCAGTTATTCCTGAATCTGGAAGTGATATTCATCATTACATTCTTCTCCCACCTATTCCATCTCCCCTCATCATTGGCCACCATATCTGCTCACTATGTTACTTGCCCAGTGGAATCACTCAAGATGTTGAATCCCTGGATACCATTCCCTTATGAGAATGTGGTTGATGTAGTCTCCTATGTGTAGTTACTACCAGTCATAAAAGCATCAAGAGATGCCTTGGTGAATCTCTTGCATTAAAGATACTGGGCTCGCCAGGCATAGGGGCTCACGCCTGTAATGCAAGCACTTTGGGAGGCCAAGCTGGGAGGATCACTTGAAGCCAGGATTTCAAGACCAGCCTGGGCAACACGGCGAGACCCTATCTCTACAAAAATAAAAAATAAAAATCTTAGCCGGGCATGGTGGCATGCACCTGTAGTCCCAGCTACTCGGGAGGCTGAGGCAGGGGGATCACTTGAGCCCAGGAGTTCAAGGCTGCCATGAGCTATGATCACACCGCTTCACTGTTGCTCAGGCAACAAAACAAAACACTGTCTCAAAAAAATAAGAAAGAAAGAAAAAGAAAAAAGGAAAAGAAGAAAATAAAGATACTGCTCGCCACTTTCCTTATGCAGTAGTTATGTAGCAGCAACCCTAACACCCCATGACAATTAAGGTTAATAATCACTCTTGCCAGTACAGCAACTCCTTTCTTTGCCTGATAGAATGCTGGCACGGGGAACCAAAAATGGTCAGATGGCAGCTAAAACTTTAAGTTTAGAGAAATCCTAAATGGTCCTCTGTAGAGTCGTACACACCCCATCCCACCCTACCACAGAAAACGGACCTCTACCCTCACAGAGCTTAGAGTCATGGGGACAGAAAGCACAAATTTGCCAAGTGGATCACTGGGAACTTTGGTGGGAAGGGCCCTTCCTACCTTTCACAATGATTTTATAAGAATAATTTTTTAGTTTCATAAACCAATGAATGATTGAATCTCATTATGACCTGGATTTGAAAAATTCTTTAGGCCAGTCTGTGTCTTGGAAATACAGCACTTATTAGAATATAAACCTAACACAAGCCAGCCATAAATTCATCCTGTTTCCTGACACGGTATTTATGAGTTCTATATGATTTGTAAATTTTTATTCTCTTTGTATTGTAGTGGAATTCAATTCAACATATACATATTATATATATATATATTATGTATATTCCCCTTTTTCCATCATTTTTTTTTGTGAAGCTAATCTCACTTTCACAGCTCCACCAGCTCAAAGGATGAGGGAACATATGCTTCTCCATATGCCCAACACAGACTCCTCAATGCATTTATTACTTAGAGCTTGGTGATTGAGGAATGTTTGTACTATTTTATTTTTCCTCTTAGTGAGTCATTCTACTGTACATTTCAAAACCTGTGATAAGTTGAAAGATCCAAGAATTAAGGTACATGTCAACAAACAGTTTTCCATCTGGTAAATGAGGGATTTATTTATAACCAGGTATTCAGATAGAGTGCTATAAAATAACATTTATATTATTTTATTGTGACTGAAGGGCTAAGCAAAAACACTAACCACCTCTAATCCATTCTCCACACTGCAACCAGATCAAGAAACTCTTCTGCCTTAAACTCATCAGTGGGTCTAAAATCCCTACCTGGGGATAATGAGGCCCTTCATGATCTGGCTCCTATCTGCTTCTTCAGAATCACTCAAAGATCCCCCTTTCTTTCTATACTGCAGCCAAACTGGATCTTTCAGTTCATTAAATGCATCCTTAAACCAGCACTCAAGTCAAGCATAATATATAGGTAGGAAATGTTGAAAAACCAAGCCAATTTTAATACAGAACTTTAATACAATACTACCAACTAGCTGCTTTCATCTGTTGAATCCCAAGGGAGCTTCTAGAAGCCAGCACGTGGGGTTTAGGATGGAAGTAGGGACGACCATGGTGAGTATCTGCTTTATTTTCGGTCCAAAGGGCTCACCTCATGGATTCTTCCTTTGGCACCATATTTGGAAGTACTGAAAAAGCCAGACTGACCTAGGAAAGTAATTCAGAACTTCTAGGATACCCAAAACTTGTGGATCTGATTCCTCTAGCTCAAGAGTTAAATAACATCCTTCTTCTCTCTTCACCACCCACCAAAGGCAGGACTTTTCCTAGCTAACACTACCCCATCAACTACTCAATAAGTTACTCTGTTTTGAGATATGTTATTAGAATTTCACATGGGAAGGCTGATTTGGTCCAAAGTTCAAGCACAGGCTGAAGGAGTTTACGCATCATAAGGTTATGAGATGCTCCAAACATCAAGCCAAGCCAAGGGGGAGGTCCTCTGAAACTTCTTCATTTTATATCTTTGAATCCTCTTTTTCTTAAGCCAGCCTTTTGGCAAAGTATCTTTTTTAAAAAAAGAGAGTTTTCCTATCCATTTATGAGCAGACAAGTCAATCACTTAACATTTACAGAACCTTTAAATATGCTTAGTTCACTGGAAGAAGTTTTGAGGGTATAAAACAAGTGTCCTCATGAGGCTTAAATCTGGATGGAGAGATAAAACCTTAATTGATGAAATAATAAAGTGTTAAAATGTGTGTACTAGCCATAAATGCTTTAATTCAGAGTGAGAAAAACCACTGTAAAGAGAAAATTTTAGTGAAGACTTCACAGGGAAAGTGAAATTTTTGCTGCAAATTAAAGGTTGAATAGGATTAAGACAAAGATAAAGGGTTATAGGGAGATCATTGCATGGATAGTGTCTTGGTCAGCTCAGGCTGCTATAACAAATATACCATAGACTGGGTGGCTTAAACAGCAAACATTTATTTCCCAGTTTTGTAGGCTGAAAGCCCAAGATGAGGGTACCAGTACAGTTGGGTTCTGAAGAGGGCCTTCTTCCAGTTTGCCCACCACCAACTTTTTGAATCCTCATGGCAAAAAGAGGTCGAGCTGGTTCTCTCACCTCTTCTTATAAGGACACTAATCCCACACTCATGAACCACTCCCCTCCCAAAGTCCCCACCTCCAGATACCATCACATTGGGATTAGGGTTTCAACATATGCATTTTGAGGGGACACAAACATTTAGACCATTGCAGGTGGACCTGTATGGCACTAAGGCACAGAGGCAGGAGAGATGGTGCTAACTGGTCCTGTCCCTACTACCTGTCCCTTAGAAAGCACTGTCTGCACAGTGGTTCTCAAGGCTGAGCACACATCAGAATCTCCCGGAGCGGGCTTCTTAAAACACACATTTCTGGAGCCTACCCCCAGAATTTCTGATGGGACAAGGCTTGGGAATTCACATTTTTAACAAGTACTTGGGTAACGCCGCTGCTCCTGGGCGGGGGCCCAAGTTTGGAAAACCACTGGTCTAGACTGTGTTGACATCTGGATGGTCACCACTCAGTAAATGGCATCTGCTAACGACAATGCTGTAAACAGTCTCTCTTATTTAATACCCCTTGCTCTGTGTCATCCACTTGGAAGTATATGATCCTCTCATTCTCACCTCCTCATTGCTCAGTCGCACTTTCCCTTCCTAATGCCACCCTCTTTCCACATGCTTATGGCTGCCGCCAGATTGAGTTTGATCTTTTCCTGCCTTTTGTTGTTGTTGTTCTTGTCGTAAATTGATTTCTGGTGTTGCGAACTTTAGTCCATCTAAACTTTGAAGTTTTAGAAAGAAAAGGTAAATAATGTTATCAGTTTTCAGTTCCTACTTTACTTTCTGACCTCTTGCTGGTTCATTGGTGAATGAAAGTGGTGACGTAGGAGACCTGACTTCGATTTTCTGTTCAACACTGGTGATAATTTTGCAAGTAGAAAATTATTTGCCTTGGAATTATTTCTCTTTGATGTAATGATTACCCAAGTAGGTAGCCATGTAACTGCAGCGGTTCTGATAATTGCATGTTGATTTAAGGCTTTACATATTAAATAATTAGATTACAGTTGACCCTTGACAGAAGCTTTGAATTCCTTTTATTTTATCAGCAATCATAGTACATAGCAAATTACAAAGTAGCCAAAATCCATTAGAATTTCTTTCCATTAGTAATGAAAGGAGTTAATAGCACATAGTAGGTACTCATTACATATTGGTAAATGAACAAATGAATACATTCAAAATAAATGCATAAATAATTTTTCTTTTCTCCATGAAACAAAAATGGACATAGTTCCATGAAACATAGGCATGGTGATTTTGTATCAGTTTTAAATTTGGCAGACTACCAAATGTTAATTTGCTTTTAGCTAGTTGAGATTAAATGTAATTCCTTCCCTGGGCAACCCTAAAGTAAGTAAGCATGAAAGCATTTTCAGAGTAATCTGCGAGGAATTGACATTTAAAGGAGTTAGCATTACATCTGTACTTTAAGGCTATTAATTTCATAGATAAATTAACTTCATTACTCCACCTTTATCTTGCATTTTGAAAGGACTCCATCAGCTGGAGGACTGAAAGCCGAGGGTCAATTGAAACTGCTCTTATCCCAGCCAGGTTGTAATTGGAACCTGCTTCTGGAAACCGTACTGCATCATGATGGTCTTTTACTGAGAATCCTGCTGAAGAGCTCAAGTGAGTATATGCAGTTACAAGAATGTCCTCGAAAAACCTAGTGATTGCTGTAGTTGAATAATTTTTTTTTCCTAGTCCAGTATTGGCAGAAGGGTGTATCAGCAGTCAGTGGGGTTAGCAGCAGGCAAAACATTGAATCGCTTTCCCACCTTTTTGAAAGAATTTATTTTCAGGGATTCTGCATGAGAGAAAACAATGTTTTTATGACACTGTTCAATCACAACTACCATTATATAGAAATGTATTAATATGCAGGATTTGAAATGCCTAAGAAAATTTTAGGAATGTAGTTATATTGACAAAGCATATGTCTGAATAAGATCTAAAAGAGAGAAAAAGAGAGGGGGAGAGAGAGAGAGAGAAGACATTGCATTAGAGCAACACTAGAACTTTAGTGTATCACGAAGAGTGCTTATGCACCTTATAAATGAGCAAGCTGTGGCTTACAGCCATATCCACTGGGACGTGGAGAAGTAATCATGAGAAAATTATGAACGGAAATTGAGGAGTAATAGAAGACCATACTTCTCTTAGACTTTCTTTTATTCCCTGTAAATGCTATTTCAGAAAATGGTAAGTAATGTTATGTCAGGATAATATACCCCATTGTGCTCCTGCTTCATCTGTAAAAAGTCTCCTAAGCATTTCCACATACCCCATATGCATCTCTCCAATTCTGTACCATGCGAAGCCAGATTCATCTTAGCCATTTACTAGTTTCACTATGGGTTTCCCAAACCAAAATATTTTTTCTCTAGTTCCCTATCACCTACAGGAACAAATCCAGGCCCACCAGGCATTCAACTATGATTGAATTCGTTTTCTAACCTTTCTAACTCAGATTAGTTTTCTAACCTTTTCCCCACTATTAACTTGCACAGACCACCCACCCATGCCCAGTTCAGTCATTGTCCCCAAAGCCCCATACTTGTGCTCCTTCCCCACCTAGGTTCACTGATTTTCTTGCTTAAAAGACCCTCCATATTTAACTCAGCCTCACTGGTCTGTAAGGGCCAGTTGATGTTCCAGATCTTTGAATGCTCTAACTCACACTGATCTCTTCTTCCCCTGATTCACAGTGTCTGTCATCTTGGCTACTTTATTTGCCCTTAGCATGCTCTGCCTTCTACTGTTATTGTAGTATATTCGTGTGTGAGTGAGGCGACTGTCACCGGGCACGACCAGCCTGTTGGTATACAAATGAGAGGTTCATAGTATTCCCTTGTCCAAATCGCTCCAGTCCTTTCTGGTAATTTTTGGCTTCTTACGTCTGCTTTTTATTCTTCTTTCCCATCTGCCCTGACGTTTGCTTCCAAAAAGCCACTTACAGGAGATGCCTCTTATGAGAACATTGCTTCTCCCTTGGTGCTCTCAAAACTATAAAACCATGTGGTGCCAAAGGTCACCACAGCTCCTCAGGCCTCACTGTTCCAAGCAGAAGGGCAGAGATTGCCCCCTCCCAAGGCCTGAATCTGATTGTATTCTCTTAGCCCCCCAAGAGTACTGTTTGGGCCTCAAACCTCACAAAGTTCACCTGAAAGCAATTGCTATTGCTTCAGGCTATAACTACACTTTCCTAAAGAGAAAACTGGCACTAGGGAAACTACTTGCTCAGCTAAACCAACATTTATTATTTGCTTACTAGGAATCAGACACTATCCTAAGCATTTTACATTTGTTATCCAATTTGATTCTTCCTATAACCTGATAAAGTGTATACTACTGTTATCCTCATGTTAAAAATAAGGACATTGGCATTTAAGATAAATAGTACTTACCCAGAGAAGCACACAGCTGATAAATAGTGAGTAGATCTGAATTCTGAACCAAACCAGAACGTTCAGTCCCTGCCCTGATACTCATACACAAATACTCCTACAAATTAAACCCTGATGTGGAGTAGTGGTGGCATTGGGAAAAACTGTTACCTGTCCGCTCTCAGGTTGGATCAACCCAGACATCCTGATGCACATGAATTTAACAACTTTCTAGCTAGGTAGGTAATCAGGGCTGGACTGTTGATTTTTATATTCCTCCTCACGCTTGCATAGTGCTTTTTATATAAAGCATCCAGTAAATAGTGTTCAGCCAATCAGTTACCAGTTGGGATATAAAATATAGAGCTTCCTTTAAACTGTATAATCTGATATTTCAGGCAAGGTGGCTACATGACATAGATAATATCTGACACAGCTGGGAGAGTTACTCTGGTATAATCATTGAGACTCAGGGGCTTGGTCCCACAAGAGAAATTGTCTCCTACGGATAGAATTATGTAAAACAATCTGGAAAATCAATTGAGATAAAAACTTTTTACTGTTTTGATATAGCCACTAAGTATAGGAAGAGCAATGGTAGTTATGACTGTGTAACCATGTTTCTTTTTTACAAATTTACTTACTATATTTACTTAAAAATAATGTTCACTTTCTGGTATGTATAACATGATGTTGGTTTTAAGAGATACAGAGTTATCAAAAGTACCATATTGTATCACCTTTAGTTGTGGTTCCTATGGAGCTCAACAGTGTTCATCATTTTTACAAAGTCCATTAGGTTACGTGGCTGCTCTGTCTTGTACTGAAGTTTGCTAATGATTTTCAAATACCATAAGGATGAAGCAGCAGAATTTACTAATCAATTGATTGACTTATTAAGCTCCAGTAAGCTACAGTAAGCTACAGTAAGCTGTCATTTCAAGTTAGAAACAAAATACTCATTGAATCTTATTAATTTTACTAAGATAGGAATTATTATGCACATAAAACTTAATTTGTAATATTTTTTATAGATATTGTCTTTTCATTTGATTAAAGGTCTCACAGTATTTCAGAACACTATTTGGTAATTTAGGAGTTTGGTCATATTTTTAGGAAAGCAAAATTTTCGAGTTAAATACCCCAATTTAGGTATTTCAAGCAATGTAATTATCAGCTTTTTATAAGAGAGTTTTTCTTTATAATAGTGTCTTTTGGTTTAATTAATAAAATTTAACTTTGTGTTAAATTGGCTCAGGAAAAAAATTGGCTGAGGAATAAAAATGCAAGATTTGAAGTACATATTTTTACTATTATGTATATTTTTAAACAAGGTTCTCTTTGTTCAGTCAGCAGTTATTGAATTCTATTAGGTACTAGGTATGAAGTTTTTCTTGGTAAACAACTGCTATGGCTAAAATATCCTCTCCAAAACTCAAGTTGAAATTTAATTGCCTTTTCAAAAATATTGAGAAGTGGAACCTTTAAGAGGTGATTAGGGCATTTGTTCTGCCCTCATGAATGAATTAATGCTGTTATCATGGGAGTGGGTTAGTTATCACTCAAGTAGGTTCCTAATAAAAAGGATAAGTTCATCCCACTTTCCTTTCTGTTTTGTGTTCTCACTTCTGCATTCCACCCTTCTGCCATGGGATGACCCTTGCCAGATGCTGGCACCATGCTTTTGGATTTCCCAGCTTCCCAAACTGTGAGCCAAATAGACTTCTGTTCTCATAAAATTATACGGTCTGGTGTTGTGTTATAGCAGCAAAACTGAACTAAGACAACAACCATCTACTACACAGATTAAAACACATGAGGTTTATTTCATAGTGAGAATGATGTCTGTAGCTTTTGGTTTTGCTGTGTGAAAATGATTTATCAGAATTTGTATTTGTTTTAAAAGAATCAGTAGAGCCATAGGGAAATAGCTATCTTGTTATCTGACGATGCAACTTCACTGAGTGTCAGAAAATAGCAAAATTAAATAAATGAATGATAAAATTTATAATATATACTTTGTAGGCTGTAAGCTTCTAGGAAGTAGAATCATATTTTTGCAATAAAGTAATTCCTCCTTTATAGAAATATGTAGCATTTTGAGGGAATGATTACATTGCTAAAACTTGATAAAAATAAATTGACTTTGAATGGTACGTAGTTGTTAACACTCTTTGGGTACAATTCAGTTGGCATGAGAAGGTAATGTTTGTTGGTTTTGTTTTAACTTAGGCCATCTAAAATCCAAAAGAAAATAACTTTCAACTACAAATGTTTATAGAAGATTTTTAAATTGTGAGACACTATTTGAGATTATTGACTTTAAAAACCCAGGGTATTTGTTCTGGTAATTACCTTACTGAGGCCACATGGCCTTACTTCTTACATGTGGCATCAAAGGAATTAATATTTGGCAATTTCCCAATTGCTAACAGGTAACCTTTCCTGCTAGTGACATTTGTATGAACTGTGACTAATATTGTTTTCTGTGCCTATTGTCCCAAGTATGATTCCCAGTGAGACTTCTTGGCTTCTGATGATAGTCGTTTGTAATATAACAACAACAGTGAACTAGCAAATACATAATACTTAACATAATTCCAGACATTGTTTCTAAGTGCTTTAAATGTGTTTGCTCATTGAATTCTTATAACAACTCCATGTGGTAAGTACAATTGTCATCTCTATTTGACAGATGAGGAAACTGAGACACAGAGTAATTTAAGTCACAAGCCTAATAAGTGGCAAAGCAGGATTTGATCCTGACAGCTGGCTTCCAAAGTCTGTGCTTCCACCCACCACACTGCATGGCATCCCTAGAGGGCGACACAATATTTACCAGGTAGCACTGTTGCATGGTTCTTGAGAGCCATCAGAAACCTCAACAAGGGATAATTTTGATAGTAACTTTTGTACTTTTCAACCATGTAACAAAGTGCCTAAATATAATCAAGAAACATATCTAGAGAAAATTCTATCTAAAGGGCTACTAACACAAGCAAGTGACAAAAATGAATGACTTGCATTCATTAATTCAAATGATCTTATAGTTAATATTTTCCTGATCTCTTAGGTAATATAAGGCATATTACAACAGAAGCTTGGTATTTTGTTATGCGTGATGTGGTGGGGTGTGTGTGTTTGTGGGGAGGTTATTTTATGAGGGTGACCAAAGTGCAGTTTAATGACCGTCTTGAAGGAGGAGACCTAAAGTAAAAATATGCTTCCTCTTAGTATTCTTAG